ATAGACGTGCCGTTGCAATTTTCTGGAAAACCTTTAACATTCAAGATGTGCTCCATACTATCATTATACTGGTCAATATTTACATACACAGTCAGCATTATAGTGCCACCTGCTGCTCTGGCATGCTTCTCACAGCGCTTTACATCATAATTTTCTTTCCACATGGAGGGAGACATTTCTCAAAATGAAAAAAGTGTCTTACCTTCTTTAGTCAGGGGTCTCCTCACAACATACTGCCTAACATCATCCTCCTTGGACAAGTTGAAGAGCTTGCGGATCTTGCTGGCCCTCTTGGGACCAAGGCGGCGAGGGACAGTGCTGTCGGTCAGCCCGGGAATGTCCTTCTCACCTGTGAGTAACAAAGACGAGGATGGTCAATCAAGTCTGAAGAATTCTTAAAAGTATTTCTAGCACCAACAGAACAGGATTGTAACAGTCCTAAATACTACGAGTGTCAAATGGCTGAACTTACTATCCAGTTCACCGTTTAACAAACTAATACTTGAAAAGCAGTGAAGCTTAGTTTTAACAGAACGAGAGAAAAGCCACAACAATTTGGGCAGTGTTGAGGCATTAAATGCTCAAAGTAAACACGTCAGATTTTCCTACCATGTACCAGAATTTGGGTGTCTTAGCAGTTACAGGAAGATATGAGGTTTTATCGAAATAAATGACAAATGATTTGTCCACCAATACAGAACAACAGAGACAGCAAACCTTGTCAGTCAGATTATGGAAAACCCTCCTGGCCAAATTTAATGAAGCTTAATGTAGCATTGGTGAAAAAAAACAACCCACTTAAATTGAATTACTTTAAAATGATCGCTTGAAGTTTATGCATTTGTTTAGTTTTGTCTTGTCTTCTGAGCATCACACCAAACCAAAAGTTAACTTATGACAGTTAAAGAGACTCAAATAGATAAAGCTTAAAATACTATATCTGTATATGTTCTCAGCCATCAAGGTCATGGTAGTCTAAGAAGCTTGGAAAGGAAGTGACAGGAGTTCTTTATGCTTCACCTCATCCAAGACACTTGTAATTCTGCATTTTAAGAAACCTCTTTAAGTCAAGTCGCTTTCTTTCCAAGCTTTAAAAATACAAGTTTCATTTTTACCATATTATTATGGCAGCAGTTAAAACAATGGGAGAGCATTGCAGTTCAACCATCCACTGTTACTAGGACTGGTCGCATCTGGTGAGCAGCTTCACAGTTACTCTGGCAACACACACTGTCCCCCCTTAATGAATACAGGAAAATCCAAAAGGGTCTGCTGGCGTGCCATCATGCATCATTTACACGTGACTCCAAAGAGATAATCAAAATTATGTGACATATAATGCGCGCACACTAAGCATGTTACCTTTCTTGACGATGACCAAGTTGAGAACGCTGAGGTTGGCATCAACAATGCAGCCACGCACAGACTTGCGCTTGCGTTCACCAGTCCTGCGGGGACGGTAGCAGGAGTGGCCCTTGCTGAGGAGCAGGCGCACACGGCCGGTGGTCAGCACACCTTGCTTCATGGGGAAACCCTGCTTGTCGTTTCCTCCGCTGATGCGCACTACATAGCCCTGCAAAAGCATAGATATGTTGCTTCACATCCTTTCTAGGAATTTCATTTCATTGCAAATCTGCCAGGATGATTAAGGTCAAATTCTCATTGACTACACAAGCAAACTACACTTTTGGCAGGGTCATATCTTGCTTTTCTTTCCACATAATCACTCACATATAATCCAAGTTATCTTCATTAAAAATTGAGGGAGCACAGCTGTTTCAATCAGCCATGGTTATATGGGCTGGTTGCATCTGAAAGCAGCTCCACTGTTCCTCTGGCAACACGCCGTCCCCCCTTAACGACTACGGGTCAGTCAGAAAGGGTCTGCTGGTGTGCCACGCCACGTATTTACCAAACGTCACACAAAAACTCACCTTCCACTCATCTCCCAGAGGGTCAGCAGACACCTCAGTGGCCATTCGCTTCTCATAGAAGGTACGCAGCTTTCGCTCATCATCAACTTCAAGCAGCTTCTGGCAGCCAGTAGCGGGAAATGAGATGTTCAGCTAAAAAAAGAGGAGCAGTTACCACGTTACTGGATGTGCACACAGGTAACAGCGAGTCAAGGTGCATCTGAATGTTGCGAACTGAGCTGCTAAAGCTTTTAATTATTTTAATGTCGCTAAAAACAAACAAAAACATTGCTGACGAGAAGCAGCGGTTACCGACATCGTGAGCCTGTCTGACGTGAGCTAATGTTTGAATCAAGGGGTAGCGAGAAGGTGGCTCGGGGGCCTGTTAGCTTCTCTGCCGGCTCAAAGCTCAGAAAACTCCGGCTTTAACTATTTGACACAGCCGGCTCAGTTGGTAACATTATCACAGCGCAGGGGAGAGGACGCAAAGGTATAACTACGTTTCATTTGAGTAAAACGAGACTTAAACTGCACCCACATTTCGCTCAGAGTGCGGCCATGTTTCCACAGCGTTCTCCGACAGACTCGTCAGCTAGCTCTCATTTTCATAATCAAAGCTCATCCTGAGCGGCCGAGCCACCATTCCTGCTTTAAATCAGCTCGCATTAAAGTTTACATGGTCAGCTTTCACCATATCGTAATATTTAACAGAAAGCAACAACACGACGAGAAACACAGTTAAAGGATTACGTTACCTTCATTTTGCCAAACCGACCCTCCGACGGTCCGCCACGAAAAAGAGACCGGATATCCGCCTCGTGGTCTCACATAGACCTGAAATGCTATCGCGATAACTGGTTCGCTGAAAAATTTAGGGTTATTAAAATGTCATACTATTAACTTATGTTATACAAGAATTTATATGTTATACTATAACATATAATTTATATGTTATACTATAAAGTATTTTGTAACTGTGTTCATCTCCTAATTTATATAT